ATTTGAGTAAGTAGGATAAAATAATATAAAATCGATAAAGATAAATTCTATCGTCGGTTATAGATACCAATTATGAAAATAATAAATGTAGGTACCTAATTTAAACTTGTAAGCTAGCTAGTAAGGAAAGTTATGTTTTCTTACTAGGAAAAATCACATTTATCAGTGATAAAAGTATCTGAATGTGATAAATTATCACTTTCAGATGCTTTGAAATATCGAAGAAGAAAGAAATATGTACTTGCGCAGTGTATGACAAAAGCGTGGACAAAAGGTTTGCCGTAAGGCCTAGCTAGAGAGTTAATTCAACGTCTATTATTTGTCAATGTACTAGCGACCCACCCCGGCCTTGCACGGGTGCAATGCTGAAACTAAAATGTCTTCACTATTTTAATGGATGCTATTATACATATAAACCTTTCTTCTTCAATCGCTCGGCATCAAAATCCGTTGCGTAGTTTTAAAGATTTAAGCGTACATAGGGATATAGGGACACAGAAAGCGACTTTGTTTTGTACTATGCAGTGGTAAAAACGTAAACTTTTATACTATGTAGTGATAAGAATTCGAACTTAGCATGTGCAATTAATTACGTTAGGAAAAGAACGATTCTTTAAATTCGAAAAAAGTGAGTTTCAATATTGTTCTTAGTTGACTTTTGTTTTTCATTCATCATTATAACATCGATGCATAAATTAAAGGAATTTATATCGAATGCTAAAAATTATTGTATCAATTGTGTAAAAAACTTCAATATTAATTAATGACGAAATGAGAGATAAGAGTTGAGTAAGATAATGGAGACTGAAGTTTGAGTCAAGCTAGTGTCAATCTTGGGCACGAATGGGTCGGCTCGACCGAAGTGATACCAGAGCTTCACAGAAAACCGGCAGCAGTGCCGGCGTTAGGTTGGGGGGGACGGCTTGATGGGGCGATGGCCCTGGGCGAAAAATTCTGGGCCGCCCAGGTCTGAAGTTGGAGTCTCTTGCCTCTCCTGGTACAAACTCTCAGAATTGTGCTCTACGCTCTGTGCATATGCATATTTTTTATTGAGATATTTTTTTAAATTTTATTTGGTGTCAGCAAAAATCTAACACTTGATATTGCTTCCCTCAAGTGGGTCGCCACAATATTTTCGCCAGGGGTGTCAGCGACCCTTACGCCGGAACTGACCGGCGGGAAACAAACAGCGAGCGTTGTGTTACGCCGTGTGAGTGAGGTTACCGGAGACCCAATCCTTCCCTTTCCCCCACCCCTCCCCAAACCTTAATTCTAAAAGGCCGGCAACGCACTTGGTACTCTTTTGGTGATCCCTACGAGTGTCCATTGGTAGCGCTAATTGCTTTCCATCAAGTTATCCATCTGCTTTTGTTTTTAACATCAGCCCTGTTGGGCCCTGTCTATGGTAGACTACCTCTGTGCCTAAGTACATTCAGATCCGTTCAGTATTATTAAAGTAAAGTCAACGTCACGTATTTGTTTTGTTTCGTTACACACTTAAAAAGATAAAAAGGCATTTCATTTTGTTTTTTTTATTTATCTTCAAGATAATAAAATGTTCATTGAAGATTTTGTACCCACAGATAATATATTATGATTGTAATTTCCGTTTGTAGTTTTTTTTATCAAAGAATATACACGAAGACGTGTAGGTAGCTACCAGCATAAACGGACCCTTGAATATACGGAAAGACTTTACCAATTAAAGTCATGATAAGAATGGTTCACATCACATCAACAGCCCATACATACATATATAGCCCACTACTGAGCAAAGGCCTCTTCTCACACGGCGAAGATTTGAGCATTAATCACCTCGCTTGCTCAAGGCGGATTGACGATTTCAAATTTGTAAAAAGAAATTATAAGTCCAGGTTTCCTCACGATGTTTTCCTTTGCCATATGTCAGTGGTGTCTAATCATAGGAAGTACATATAACTCGGAAAAGTCACATTGTTACTAGCCAGGGGCGCCTCTGGGCCACAACATTTTATCGAATACTAGCTACTCTCATGCGGTTTCACCCGTTGCTCGGCTCCATTTGATCGTAGCGTGATGTTTTATATCCTATAGCACTCAGGAACATTGTATCTATCTGTCAGTGAAAGAATTTTGACAATCCGACCAGCGAGCGGTTCCAAAGATTACTCCCTACATACAAACTTACAAATTTTACCTCTTTATAATATTAGTATAGACTAGCAGAGTGCCCGTGTTTCGCACGGGTATAAGACTGCCTCGGTGTCAGTCATTTGTTTTCCTCGCGAACGGCCACGGCACTGAAAAGGTTGTTAATACCTCCTTACTTCTCTAAAGTTTTCTTTCGTAAGAAAAAGTTACAAAAAATGTAATAAGTCGGCAACCGAGCAGACGGATTACCTGATGGTAAGCAATCAACGCCGCCCATGGACACCCGCAACGGAGGAGTTACGAGTGCGTTGCCGACCTTTTAGGGATTAAGGATTTGGAGATTTAGGGATTGGGGAAGGGTCCGGGAAGGGGAAGGATTGGGCCTCCGGTAACCTCACTCACACGGCGAAACACAACGCTGTGGTTGTTTCACGCCGGTTTTCTGTGAGGCCGTGGTATCACTCCGGTCGAGCCGACCCATTCGTGCCGAAGCATGGCTCTCCCACACTTTCCAGGTCCAGGTCCAGGCATTTTTGAGTTATGCGCTTTCTAACACATTTCGCGATTCATTTTTATAATATATATACCTATGTACCTATAACCTAATTCGCAGCCGTATACCTACGTTAAAAATTAAATGACTCATTTCAAACAATGAATTTTTCAGCTAATCACTTAAGTACCTACCTATTAATTTTTGTATATTTTTTCCTTTGTTGACTTTAAAATAGTTATGTGACTAACTTATCATATCAACGTCACCGTATTATATCGTACTATTTTATACATGAAAAAAAAAACGAATTTTCTTATCTACACCTACTTATGTTTAAAAAAATGAATTTTCTTATCTAAACCTATATTTTAATACTCATAAAATGTATGCCTAAGTCAAGGTTTTTTAGTATTTGTTTCAAAAATTCTATATACTTTGAAATATACGTCCGTCTGTTCATCAGTGGATATAGGTGTTGACTTTTATAAACGGGAGCAAAAACCAACCGACCTATATTTTATTACGAGATATGTCGGCAAAGGAGCAGACCTTTCTTCCAAAACCCCCTGTTCCTTCTCCTGCTCTGGGCCGGGGTGACCACAGAACAGATAAAAAAGGTTTAAAAAATTTTTTATCTATTCTGTGGGGGTGACTTACCCCACAACCTCGGCTGAACATCAGCCCTATAGGGCCCCGTCTGTAGTGGTCTATTTGCTCTTTGAGGCGCACGCGGAACGCTACGCGCCGTACGCTCGGGAAACGAGCAGACCTACGCCCTAAATCTCTCCCTACCTATCTCTAAATAAAAATTTCTCAAATCCAGCGCCTTTAAACGGCCAGCAATACACGATCTGATGTTGTGGGAATCCGTGGGCGACGCCCGCCGATAGCTTGCCATACGTTTACTCATTAGTCGACATATTCCTTTAAAAAAGAAACAACCTGACGTTCAAATTGATCAAAGTATAAATAAAATAAGCCTTTATAGTTAAGTTTACTAAATTTTTTCATTTCATTAAATTTAAGTACTTTGGAATAATATTTTTTTCCTTGGACGTATGCCTCCTCCAAAGATTTTCACTAATCCGCATCCCTCGTTATTCTCATCAATTCTGGTCCAACAGATTTCTTCAGCACCTCTTGGAGGAAGAAGACCACGGTCCTCTTAAGACCACAGTATGTATAAATTTAAACAAAGGTAATAAGGTTGTCTGTTTAAGAAAATTCTGAGGAAAAATGCGGTGCCAAAAGCCAAGTATCTGGAAAATTTTCTAAATTAAAAACACGGCTCTAATTTTAAACGAAAAAATCATAATCGGCATGATATAAAAATATTACATTTTATAACATAGGTCGAAAAGACTTAATAGAACTGAAAATAACTGATAAAAGTATGTGTAAGAATGTTTATAAAAAGTTTTATTATTTTTTCCTATAGGTATTTGATAGCTATATCTACTTTTAAAATGCTACCTATCTCTGTAAGTACCTACGTAAACTTTTCATTGATATTGAAACAAAATATAACATTATTATCTGGTTTATCACATTGTTATTGTTTTTTTTTAATTTTAATAATCATTAAAAAGTATGAAAATATTCCTCTCTAAATTAGTTAATTAGTGTGACAGAATTAATGAACCGACGCAACGGGGCTTTTCTCTGATTTTATATTACTATTACTTACACCACGTATATATCACAAGTTAGTTATATTCACCATGGAGTCTGCATTCATTCATAAAAAATCACATTTTTTCTAATTACTTACCGCACGCGTAGTTAGTTAAACTTTCTATAATTTTTATCTCAATCAAATCCAGACAAGTAATATTATTTTGCATATACATTTTAAGACTTTAATACATAGTAAGAGCCAGAAAAAATCAAAAATACTTCGATACAAAAAACGTTCTGCAGCAAAGGAAAATAAAACAATTTATCTTCATATCTGTTTAACGTCATTGTTTTCGACAGATTAATTCTATTATTATCTATAACTGTAAGCTGTTTACGTAAATAAGTTTACTTCAGTTACTGATAAAAATAGATGAAGGAATTTGGCTACGCCGACGAATCTGAAACCATGACGTATGGCGCCAGGCCGTCTCTGATGAAGTAGGAGTATGAAATAGTTTAAAACATTTACTATAATTATTTTTAAAATATGTTTTAAGTATTATATAGTACAAGTTGCGTTTAAAATATTAAAACATATTTTTTTTCTTGTCGTAGAAATGTAGTCAGATTTTTTTACTGGTACCGATTTCAGAACGCATCTATAACCTTCAAACTGTCAGCTGTCAATTTGACAATGACATTCCAATTGGAAGTTTCGGTGGTTTGGTTTGCGTTTTTGCAGAAATTCCGTTTGCGCGTCTATTATTTTTAAATTAAAAACAATGCGCAGGGAATTCATATTAGTTTTGTTGGGGATTATATGTGTGTCGACACTGAGTTCGTTATTATCAAGCTACGTCCAAATAGAGACGGACAAAATATTGTTGGACACTGTAGTCGGTGCTGTGGGTGCTGGAAACTTTTCTTACTGGCAATCGATGCATATAGGACCTCTTTTGGTAGAACTCACCTCTTTATCAGGCGATGCTGACCTTTACGTGTCTGATACCATCAGGTATGTGGTCTAAAAACGTAATAATTTGCGTGCAATTTAAAGTTAACCAGACCTCTAGAAACTTGTCAACAATACTGTCTATTAGTGATATATGTTAATTTAAACTGTATTTGTGTTATAGTAATTAGTAAAACTAGTATTTGATAGATAGATATATGTTTCTTAATGCCTTTAAGACTATTATACTTGTGGTAATATGAAGATTATAGTCTTGATTTTAAGCTGTTTTAAATTATAAACTAGATCAAATATATCAATTACATACTTAGACTGTTTAGTTGTTGAATTCATGCACAATTTCTTCTTGAGTTTTCATGTAAAATATAAAATAAAAAACAAAGTGACAATGCTCCAATCTTCTGCACTGGCCTGGAGCAGAAAAAGCAATTGGATAGTTTTGAGTCAGAAACTCCCTCTGGTCTCTGCAGAGCAAGCAAGGCAATTCATGATTAAAAAAATAAAAAACAATAATAATACAATTTAAACAGTCTCCATCTTCTTTTGTAATAAATATAAAAATGAATGTCTAAATATGTTGCCAAAGAATAAATTTTGAAAAAGGTTGATTCTTATGTTTAGTAGGAGAAGATTTGTATGAATAAAAAGTAAAACTTAAGTGTACTGTAGAACACTTATTTATTTTATGCTTCATTGTACGAAGTTGGTGTATAGGCATACTTGATGCCTTTTGGCATTCTCTACCAGTCAGCACCTGATTTTTAAAGTTCTAATATATTTTTTTCTATTTTTCAGGCCAAGTTATGAAGTGGACAAGAATAACTTCAGCTCCATAACCTGTGGTCTGGACTCAGTGCTTATACCATCAGACTTTCCACGACCTATAGGCAAGATCCACTAGTCAATGCTACTTAAAAGTCCTATAAATATACTAACTTTTGCCCGCAACTCCGTTCGCGTAGAATACTGACTTCCTGCAGATTTTTGGCATAAAAATTATGCTATGTCCTTTCTCGAGTTCCAAACTATGTCTGTACCAAATTTCAGAGAAATCGGTTCAGTAGTTTAGGCGTGAAGAAAAGACAAACAGACAGACAGACAGAGTTCCTTTAAATTTATAATATTAGTTTGGATTGCCAAGTTACTTTCGTGGACTGCCAAAATTATCAGTTGTCAAGCTATCTGGCTGATTTATGAATCTGAATTTATAGTCGCTAAAATATCTGTCTTGCCTATTGCAGCATAATGTTTATAATTAAAAAAACTACATGTACATAATATAAGCATGTCTTTTAGGTAGAACATAGACAAGACATCTCGAAATCTTTTGCCATTTTTAATACATATAGTAACTATTGTCAGTCATACTAAATTGATTGAGAATAACGCCTTACCCACATGAAATAACTGAAAAAAAAAATACTAGTTTTAAGTCAGCAATATACTCTGGTCATTACAGACTATACCTTTGTTCAGCACATAAAGTCATTTGATTTAATATAATCTTTTAAATCTAATAAACAATACTTGACTAAATACAAGCTTCATCGTAGCCCTTCAACCACATACCTAGAGTAAATGATAATATTTTTTAAATAACTATCGTGAGACATACTAAATTAACTAAAAATCGCGGGTTACTCACATGTATATATTGAGAAAAACTCTACTAGTTTCGAACCACAGAGAACTCTTCCTCGTGAGCAGCGTGCGCGGACGCGGCGACGTCGCGCAGCCTACTGTGGTTCTGAACTAGTAGAGCTTTTCTTAATATATACACGTGAGTAACCCGTATTTTTAGTTAATTTTGATAATATTTTTTTAAAAAAGGAGGTTCTCACTTTTCCTATAAACATTTTTCAGGTATTGGTGTTTTCGGACACTGGTCACATTATCTCTCGGAGTACAGCATACAAGTGTTCTTAGATGCTTCAGCAGTCTTCAGCGAGGAGCAGGTTAAGGCTATAGAGAGAGCTTCCCAGGGGATTGGTGAGGGGGAAAGACAATTAGGTAAGTTATTTTTACCATTAAGAGCTGAAGAATGTTATTGTGAAAATTTTATACTAATCTGTTTTCAGCTTTCCATGGAATCATTGATCATCCTATTTTGTTTGATGTGAAGTTATTCAAAAGTAACTTTATATTAGGGAATAATTAAAGAATTAGAAAAGGTTCCTTCAAAGTTATCTATACTACCAAAACTGTACCTGTTTTAAATAGTTTATCTGTTTTATTTATCATTTATATGCAAGTTCCAATTTGGCTAATTAGTAAATTAATGCTTAAAAGTACAACTTTAGGACAGTTGATTTCCTTGTTTTCAATTTTGACAATGCATGCTTAATGGGGTTCTCAACCTTTTTGTAATTATGTTTGCCAAAAACATTTACATATGTTCTGAATAATTGTGCATACTCATATGTGATCTGCTGTCATCTACAATTGAGATAGAAGAGGAGAGTAGAAATAAAAAAAAAATGATTAAGTATAATTTCATGGTTATATTAAATTATAAATAAATAAATACATTCTTTAGATGGCAACATACATAATATATAATGAGGTTTCAGAAAGAAAGTTAATTAGTTATTTATTAATAGTCTCTAACACAAATCAACAATAATTGAACATTTTCTTAGAAATAAAATGTACTATGAATTTCGGATTATAATCGTATCTCTGTGCCAAATTACATTTAAAATCAAGTAGCCATTTTATCTAAGCACGTTAAAACTATACAAGTTATTATTTATTATTTCTTACCTTTGTTTATCGACGGAAATACGAAAAATGCCCGTGTTAAAATCCATTTGGCATTTTCCATCCCCCCATCAAAATTGTACCTATAGGTACACTCACGATTTTCAAAATGGCACGGCACTATTAAACTTAGGTAACTTATTTACAAAAAAACTTTCATTTTAGACACTTTCCAACAGATTTTTGCATTAATATAGGTATTTGTTATTTCAAAAACATTGCAGACACTTTGATATCTATAACTTTATTATAAAACACTGATTTTGTAAGTTATTTACGTTGAGCGAACGGCACTGCGTATTTTGCATTTTTGCAACTTTTCGGAAAAACCTTTCTGAATTTTAAAATATCGTATTTATTAGCTTGTCAGAACAAATGGAACACTTTAATTTACGTTTTTCTCAATAAATTACACACTTTACAAATATAAAACAGACATAATATAACTTTTAAATCAAATTGATAATGGACTTCGGAACACGAAAATGCACACACAAAGTTTTGGTGCAATAACAAATTAAAATGGCGTTCGCGCCAAATGACAAAAACAAATAATGCGCATCTCTTTCGCACTCATCGAATCGACGCGCGCAAGAACGAGATAGCTTATTGTGTTACTTATGTACATACCATTTTCAATCTTCTGTGTTTAAATTTAAATGCTATAATTATATGTATACCTGGTTTTAAAAAGGAATTTGGCAATAACCCGATTGAAATTCAAATGTTACATGTCGATCGATGGTGCAAACATTGTCGTGCTTTTGTATTTATTGGGATTATAAAAGGGATTAGTTTCTACCATGTTTGAGCGTAGACTATGGTAGGTACTAGGGAAATTATTCAGGAAGCATTATTTTTGAAATTAAAATTTTATTTTATAATAGTAGATGGTAATTTCTACTCGTCCAGTCCAGTCGTTGCAAGGTCCCGCGACGTTTCGATTCTTAGTTTGGGCTGAATATTTTTTACTCCCTAAAACCTTTATATTTAAATTGTTTAAAAAAATTACGAGTAAGTATATTGCTGGGTACAATCTAAAGTGCAATCCCCTTCAATCCCCGAGTAGGGCAAATAAAATTGTACTTTGCCCCTCTCATTATCCGTTATTACGAGGTCATTAAGTCATAGGGTCACTGATTAAAATTTCTAAATAGTGTTCTTGACAACTAGTCAATTCACCAGTGGACGTCTTCCGGCTGCTGATGGTGATAATGATATTACTCATTACTTTCAGATGCTGAAAAGAAGAGGGAAAAGCCAGCAGCCCGCAAAGCTGACGAGGAGCCGAAGCCTCGCTTCCTGAAACTCCTGAATATCCTCGACATGATATTTGAAATGTTCGTGCTGTAGACAACAAGTAGAGTAGTTTGTTTTTAAAGCTTTTTTTATTTGATAGGTCGGCAAACGAACAGACGGATTACCTGGTGGTAAGCCATCAGCGCCGCCCATGGACATCCGCAACAACAGAGGAGTTACGCGTGCGTTGCCGACCCTGGGTTAGCGATTTGGGATTTAGGGGAGGGGAAGGATTGGGCCCAACGCTGTGTTTGTTTCACGCCGGTTTTCTGTGAGGCCGTGGTACCATCAATTCTTCGCACCGTAGTCTCGTTTTTACGATCTCCTGGAATCCAATCCAATCATTGATTTGTTATGCTTTTAAGCACATAGACTACGGTAGTTTCCAACTAGTCAAATTCAATACTTTTATCCAAATGTCAAAATCGATACTTTTCTATGATATTTGTATGAAAAACTGAGTTATGACGTCATTGTATTTTTGCGTCACTTGCGCTTCTTATTTCTTAACTACAAAATAGCTAAAACTTTGTGTGTGTATCGATCGATCGCTGAATGAAAGTATACTTATTTTTCGATATTTTACTGACTTGAAACGTCGAATTAATTTATTTTTGACTTAGGAAACTACCCAATTAAAATAATTGTATCTCCAAAGTAATTGTTTGAGCTAGGAGTCAAGCGTTATATATAATGCACCGCAGCCTCGGCCCAGCGCTGAAGAAGGAACGAGGTGGTCTTTAGTCAGTAAGGACTCTAGCCTCTTGTCGATTTTCCACCTGTATAAGTAATATTGGCGCCGCCCATGGACATCCGCAACACCTTAGGAGTCAAAAGTGCATCGCCGGCCACTGGAATTAGGGTTTCGGGATTGGGGGTGAGGTAGGATTGGGTCTCCGATAACCTCACTCACAGGGCGAAACACAACGCTGTGGTTGTTTCACGCCGGTTTTCTGTGAGGCCGTGGTTTAAGGTCGATCCGACCCATTCGTGCCGAAGTATGGGTCTCCCAGAGTCCCAGTCATAATTTAACATGCCTAACTGGTAATCTAATATAAAATGTGTTGGTGAGTGCATAACTCAACAACGGCTGCACCAATATTACCATATGTTAACCCATTCGTTCCGCGTAGCTCTCCCACACTATAATATGGTGATGATCTTAAGTTGCTTATTTGATTTTAGGCTCTTTGGAGGTATCATCAACTTCTACGTGGATTGAGCGTCGAAAAAGCCTCGTTTTCAAATAATGAAATATGAAAACAAGTGACGGAAAACTGAAAACGTCAAGAAAAATGTGTAATTTTTCCACGTTGCTCTTCCAAAGTGTTATACTGTGCTTCCGAACCGCAGTGTTGTATGATTTAAACAGTTTTGGTGACTGGTGAGTTTTTGCAATAACTAGATGGCGCTTGCGTCGTTTAAAGTCCGTTCAGTTTTTTAAATAATAAGTGAAAATGGTGAAGATTAGTGATATTGTTCCTTCTTGGAATGAAAAGTGTTTTGTCCTAATTTTAAGGTAAAATAGTAATTAAAGTTAATATTATTTCGATTTCATCTATACTATGATAATATTATAAAGCTGTAGTGTTTGTTTGAACGAGCTAATCTCCGGAACTACTGGTTCGAATTGAACATTTCTTTTTGTATTCGTTAGTACATTTATCGAGGAAGGCTATATTCTATAAAACAATACGCTGAGCAGCGAGTGAAACCGCGCGAGAGTAACTAGTAATATTATAAAGAGGTAGAATTTTGTAAGTTTGTATGTAGGGGGTAATCTTTGGAACCGCTGGTCGGATTGCCAAAATTCTTTAACTAATAGATAGCTACAATGTTCCTGAGTCCTATAGGCTATAAATCATCACTACGACTAATAGTAGCCGAGCAGCGGGTGAAACCGATTAGCAGTAGCTAGTATCATTATAAGTAATTTTTTTAATTTATTTAACGTTGCCCCTCACTAGGATTTTTTTCCTGTATCGTGGGTGCGTTTACAAACATACAATGTCACATAATACACATCACACCCGGACTCATGAAACAACAATTTGTGGATCACACAAAGAATTGTTCCGTGCCCAGCCACCGCGTCAACCGTACAACCCTAACTGGACTTTATTTTAAAATTGTGAAATTGTAGATACTGAAAAAATCCTTTCTAGCTATCTTAATAAACTCCTCATGTATACTTGGGTTTCCTTATAAATAAGAGCTAAGCTTGGTCACCCTGATCTTGGCTATATTTATATTTTTATATCGATTACAAAGTTTTTTCGTAGGTACTGTGTTTTCTTTATTATCTGTATAAAACTAAATAACTTTGGGGGCTGTAGATAATATCGACAAGGCTACGATGACTGGTTTCTTCAGACTTCAGAGGAACTATCTGTTAACTCTACTAGGTAACTCCACCGCTTATTTTTATTTATTTAAGGACAACCAACAAAACGTAGGTAGGTGCTATAACATTGTTTTTTCTGGTGTACCTCATCATCAGCCTATAAGTGTCCACTGCTGAGCAAAGGCCTCTTCTCACACGGAGAAGGTTTGAGCATTAATTACCAAGCTTGCTCAATGCGGGTTGGCAATTTCAAACTTTTAATTAGAAATTATAAGTCCAGGTTTCCTCACGATGTTTTCCTTCACCGTACCTGGTGTACTTAATACAAGAAAATACATGTTATGGCACTCCACATAATAACATATTGTAGCCAATTACCTAAATGAAAATGATGTAGGTTTGTTTTTGTAATTTTGTTTTTGTTTATTGTCGCAAAAAGTAGCTTTTTTATTGTAAGTATAAAAATCTAGTACCTATAACTTACTTTTGTATCTAGTCAATAAAATTTAATTAATTTATTGTATTTCATTGTTTTATTTAACTTGTAATGTATGTAGTATAATAATAATAATAAATTTATTGCTTCAAAAATTACAGATATATATAACAATTACTACATAGGTATTACAGAGTAATCTTATAAACAATTGTTGAATTGGTAGGGCTTGCATGATTGGAAAAATCTGTATACAAATTTGATAAACCCTGCCTCTTAAACTAGGATATCCTGTATCTTAAGAGACAGTGTTCGGCTAGAGATTATTACATTTATATTTTACAACAAGCAGAGTGATGTGAGTATGTTTACCGGAGTTGCGGGGCAAGCGCCGGTCGGCCTAGAGCAAGTGAAAGGGGGTTTTTGATCAGTAAGAGTCTGACCTTGGACGGAAGAAGCCATTTGATGATCACCAATGACATTATAATTAAAACTTACTTATAATATCATTGCCTGTGCCTACCTATTTGCAATAAAATTTCAAAGCAGATATCTTTAGCCGATTGAGCTGCAATTTTACCTATATAGGTACCTACACGCTTAGTTTACATGACAATAAATGCTAAGCTCAATTCCTAGAATGTCGCTTAAAGTGTCTAGTCGCGGGTCTTATATAAGACCCGAAGAATAAATCTTCATGTTGGTCAATATTGACCAACATGAAGATTTATTTCTTATTTTTAGGTATATTACCTACTCGCACTTTTATACACAAATGTCATTCCTGGCGAAGATAATATTTTGTATTAGGTATGTAATAGGTCGGCAAACGAGCAGACGGATTACCTGATGGTAAGCAATCAGCGCCGCCCATGGACACCGCAACGGAGGAGTTACGAGTGCGTTGCCGACCTTTTAGGGATTAGGGATTGAGGAGGGATTGGGGGCGGGGAAGGATTTAGCCTCCGGTAACCTCACTCACACGGTCAAACAAAACGCTGTCGTTGTTTCACGCCGGTCTTGCTAGAGAGAGTCCAGTTTCCCTGGATTTAGTGTATGGTTTTTATAAGAAGAATCAACTAACTTGAATAATGATAGATTAAAATGTGAGAGGACCGTGCTTCTACATGAATGTGTCGGCTCAACCTGCATGATGCAACAAATTCACAGAAAACCGGCGAAAAACAAACTCTTGTGTTGTGTTTTACAATGTGAGGGAGGTTACCGGAGGCCCAATCGGTCAAAAGGCCGAGAAGCCATTTGTAACTACTCCTCCTCCTTGATGTGGATGTCCTTACCGTCCTTGGGCAGCGCTGATTGCGTACCATCAGATAACCTTTGCGGGAAGAAATGGAAGGACGAAATAAAACAAAATATAAAAGCATCGATATAATAAATACTTATTTTGGTATTTACAAAAAAAAAAATTAAAAATAACACAACACATAAAAACATCATCTTATTTATTACTAACCGCCATACTTAGACTCATTACATTAATATTATGACTATTGATACAATAGTCTATAGTCAGACTTTTAATTCGATTCCTGATTTGACATTGACCACTGTCATTTTGTGAAATAATGATACCACATATAACAGTGTAGTGATGAACACACAAATCGATAAACAATCAGTGAATCAGTTTCAGGAAGGCATTCAAAAAATTACGGCTACCGAATGGTCTAAATGCGTATCTCATGTTGTCAAAATAGGGGAAAAAATTAGTAAGCTAGATATGTTAATTGACAATAAAAATCACAGACACAATTTATAATAAATGTTACAAAAAGTAACAGCGATAGCGATAGCGATGACGGCCACAATTTATAAAATTTCTGTTTTATTTGTCATGTTCCTTCATGATCACATTTTTTATTTATTTCACACACAATTACAAAAGAAAAGTCTCAGATCGTTAATTAATTGTCAAAACTAAATTATCGGATCAGAAATATTTTATTTCCTGATAAACTTAGTTTACGAGATTAAATTTATAAACGAGAGGAATCGATTCAGAAATATTCGATTTCCACATCGAATAATTTCGCAACGTCACTATTTAATACGTGTCATAACGTTGCAACACTGAAATTGTCAAATCTGGAATGGAATTAAAAGTCCGAGTACCTATAGTATTTTGTTTTGAAGAAACTGCCAAAAAGTTCTCAAACTATGATATTTTGTGCGCGAGAGTGATGTGACGTCACAGTTTTTTTCGTCAAAATAAAATATAAATGCGTTATGCGAAAGTAGCTCTGTCTGTCTGTCTTTTCTTTACGCCTAAACTACTGAACCGATTTCAGTGAAATTTGGTACAGATATAGTTTGGAACTCGAGAAAGGACATAGGATAGTTTTTATTGCAAAAATCTGCAGAAAGTCACTATTCCACGCGAATAAAGTGACGGACAAAAGTTAGTTAATTATTTACTATTTTGTTAAAAATTACCTAACAAATTACGAATGCTAAGTTAGTATCTAGCAAAAGCGTAAAACCAATGTTTTTTTCATTATTTTCTTGCATTGAAACGTCAAAATTATTTTAGACTACTTAAGTCAAGTATCCAGTTAGACACTAGAATAAGTAATTAAATAACTCTCGAGTACGATTGTAACCAAAGGTAAACAATGTTGGTATGTCTTTTTATATCAAAGAGCTCGTATAAAGTACATACAAAGATTATTTAAATTCAGTTTATTAGCTAACATCGATTTAGGTAAATAACTGATTGTAAACATTTTTACATACAATTTTTAGACAACTTTTAGATAAAAAGACATGCCAAGATTGTTTACATTTAGTTAATTACCTAAACTATAAGGCAGTGACTTTAAATGGACGATCAACGAACAGTCCAACGCAATGTATTTTACATATAGTCTACCAAGAAACTTAAATACTGTTGCAACTTGTAACTATCAGGCCTTTACAAAAAAGTTTTCCATAATTTGTATTATAACGATGGAGTTTCTTGCTCGTTCTTACCCATTCGAATCTACAATTTGGAACGAGCACCTAGCTTCACTGACGAACTGACTGACCGTATATTAAATATTCTATTTTGAAAATAAATAATAATTATACAATAAAATGTATGGCAGACAAAACTTATTTAGTAGTTATTTAAAGACCTAGTAAGAAAAGCAACACCTTTTTCAAACTAAGTTTTTAAGTGTAGGAGAGCCATGCTTCGGTACGATTGGGTCGGCTCAACCGAAGTGATACCACGGCCTCACAGAAAACCGGCGTGAAACAACCACAGCGTTGCGTTTCGCCGTGTGTGTGAGGTTACCGGGGGATAGACAGCTGTCTATTACAATGTTCCTGAGTGCTATAAGCTATAAAACATCACTACGACCAATAGTAGCCGAGCAACGGGTGAAACCGTGCGAGTAGCTAGTAAAAAATATGCATATGCACAGAGCGTAGAGCACAGTTCTGCACCAGGAGAGGTAAGAGACTCCAACGTCAGACCTTGGCTGGCTAATGATTTATGGCCATCTTTTTGAGAAAACGAGTCTCAATAAAAAATATTCATCAAGGGATCCCACCAGATTGATTGTTCCAGGTAAATCCACAACTCTGTTAAAAAAAATTGACAGATGACATCGAGAGATGACACTTGCAAAATTTATAATTAAATTTAAAAAATGGCTAATTGACAAATGTTTTTATTCAATAGCTGAATTCATGTCTTGTACTACAAGAAATATATATAGAAAGTTATTATACTTTTTTTAATATGGTTTGTCAAATATGCCTAGAGATGTTTTTATAATTAGTTAATATGCCTAGAGACTTTGTTGATATTTAATATATTTTTTTTTAATTGTAATTCCACATTATGGTAATGGTCATAATAATATTTGCATGCCGGTTAAACGGCGAGACATGTGAAACACATACCTACTGTATCATCTTGTAATACCATATCATGTTTCTAGCAAATAAATTTCTGATTTCTGGCGCCCCCAGAATTTGACGCCCTGGGCCATCCCCCCATAACGCCGGCACTGCTTAAGGATTGGTTCCTTTTTGCGTAACTTCGTCCGACTACGAAACTACGAATGTATCGTAAAATCAATTAAAAAAGCTGTCGTTTTTAAATATTTTATTGTACTTATTAAAAATTCTATATACCTACTTAATTTATTTAAGACTAAGAGCTGATTTTTTAATAATCAAATAAATGTTATCTGAGTAATAAAATTGTTGCTGTCACTGTCTTATACAAACATTGTGACGCGACAGCATCATAATAATTCCCCAATTAACTTTTATCTAACCATTGAATAATCAGCCCTATGTCAAATACACAATCAACAAAATAATAAATACATAACAGATCTTTACGTTTTTACCACTACATAGTATAAAACAAAGTCGCTTTCTCTGTCCCTATATCCCTATGTACGCTTAAATCTTTAAAACTACGCAACGGATTTTGATGCGGTTTTTTTTATAGACAGAGTGATTGAAGAGGAAGGTTTATATGTATAGTAACATCCATTAAATAGTGAAGAAATTTAGTATCGGCATTGCACAAGTGCAAAGCCGGGCTATAAATAAATAAATAAATGATTTGGTTAAAACAATATTATTTGGATGTTTTAGCTTGAACAAAAGTCACATTGGTTTTTGCTGATTTTTAATCCTCACATTTTTGCGTGCGAAGCGAGCGGGTAAACCTTCGGCTGATTCATGAAAAGCTGGCCAGGTAGGTGTATGCCCGAAATCATTCGTAGCTCACGATTAAGAGTCCCGGTGTGACTTGAAACTAGTCGAGAATTCCTCGAATAGTTTACAAAGCTATTTTTTTTGGTATGTCTCACTATATTTAGTGTACAAAGGTGATGATGATGATGGTGTAATGATGAAGAACGTCGAGGTGGAATCTATGCATCCTTTTTAATGTTCTTGGAGGCTGACAGCCTCTGTTTACACTCCTGGTAGATGCCATCCAGGTCGAATGCCGCTTTCACGTTGTCTTTGGAGAAGAGGAATCTGCAATGGAAGACCAGAAAAGGTAGAAATAGTCCAAGTGTCCCATGCAAGGTTCGGCTCGACCGGAGTGATACTACGGCCTCATAGAAAAATGGTCTGAAACAATTACAGCGTTGTGTTTCGCTGTGTGAGTGAAGTTACCGGAGGACTAATCGTTCTTACCCTCCCCAACCCAATCCCCAAAAGGCTGTCAACGCAGCCGTAACTCCTGCGGTGTTGCGGGTGACTATGGGCGGCGCCGATTGCTTACCATCCGTCTGCTGTATTCAGTAGTATTTACGTGAAAGAGTAACAACCATCCGTACTTACAGACTTTCGCGTTTATACGTAATATTAGTAAGACCGCTGCATTTGAAAAATGTCTTTTGTGTGGGCGAGCCAAGCTTCACACGAACGTGTCGGCTCGACCGGTCTAATACTACAGCCTCACGGAAAACCGGCGTAAAACAACCACAGCGTTACGTTTCGCCGTGTGAGAGAGACCCAATCCTTCCCCTCCGTAATAACCCAGGCCGGCAACGCACTTGTAGTAAGTCCTTGGGTATAACGAGAGCTTATGAGCGGAGTTGATTGCTTACCATCAGGTAATCCGCCTGCTCGTTTGCTGACTTATACCATAAATTAATAAATAACCCCATTGAAGTCTTACGTGATACCTGGGAACACTTGTCTCGTTGACAAATTCTAACATTTGCCCATTTAAAATTATGCCACAATCATTACTGTGTACGTTGGGCAAACTAAATTTAATACATTTAGTTTTTTCTCGTTAAGTGCTAAATTATTGACTGTAAACCAATTATGAACTTGATGAATGGATCTGTTTATATCGTCAAAATTATTAGCACGTTGACCTATTTTAAATATTAATGATGATATCATCTGCAAACAGCACCATTCTTGGCTCAGTCTTAAATATAAATGACAAGTCATTAACATACACTAATAAGAGACACGGACCCAATATTGAACCTTGCGGAACGCCCATTCTTATCTCAGAGCCTTGTGAGTTAGAACCACCAACATGAACCCTCAGCTACCTATTCTCTAAATATGATTTTAATAGACGGAGTGCAGTATGTCAAAATATATAATTATATCAATGTCAGCGAGATGTCACTAGGCCGCACTTACTTCTGCAGTTTCCCAGTGTGGTCAGCCTGGGGTCTCCTCATCTTCTCCTGCCCCTCAGACAGCACCAGCACCGTCGGCAGCTGGCGGCTGGTCGGACCATCCTGAACTCTATACTTAGCTGCTGCTTCTGGGTATCTGGAATGATAAGTTATTTTTCTATGAATCGCAGACGTGGCTTGAATCTGTTCGAGTTAACCCGTAAAACAGTTATCGAGTGAGTAAGCTGTTAATTATAAATAACCAGCTAATCTCGCGCGGTTTCACCCGTTGCTCTATTTGATCGTAGCATGATGTTTTATAGCCTATAGCACTCGGGAACATTGTAGCTATCTATAAGTGAAAGAATTTTGGCAATCCGACCAGCGGTTCCAAAGATTACCCCCTACATACTAAATTACAAATTTTACCTCTTTGTAATATTAGTATAGAGTTCATTAACGTTCGTCAAACAATGTGATTACACAGCGAAACACGGTTTCAGGTTCTAATCCTTCCCCTCCTCTCATTACCCATTCTTATAACTGTACGCTTCTGTACATTAATCAGGAAGCTGTTGTTCAAGTTGAAGTGCGAAGAGAGTAGGTCATGTAGTTTCCGACGAGTTTATTGCGTAAAGTTATGTTTACAACGAAAACTGTTGACGATTCCTTTCTCCAATATTGGTCACTGCGTAGCAGTATTTGCACTGGTTTATTTTATTGTACAACTAATTATAAGAATAAAATTGCCTATGTCCACAACAGGCAACAATAACTCATATCCCTAGAACAGCCAATCACGAACTTGCAACTTTTCGATGTTGCGATTGTTTATAAGTTTCGCTAACAACTGGATGGCGCGATGGCTGTGCAACTGGCTGCCACGATAGGGTCGATTCCCGCACGGAACAACTCTTTGTGTGATCCACAAATCCTGATCTGGGTGTGGGTGTGATGTGTATGTGAAATTGTATTTTTTTTTAAACGCGTAAACTTCACATGAGAATACATTAGTTTGGGGCAAAGAAAAGAAAAAAGCTTACCATCAGGCATCAGGGGCAATACGGTAGTTTCCAACTAGTCAAATTCAATACTTTTATTCAAATGCCAAAAACGCTATTTTTCTATGAAATTTGTATGAAAAACTGAGTTACGACGTCATATTATTTTTGTGTCAAATCGCTTACTTATTTCTTAATAATTATCTATAAAATATTAGTTATTTTTAATACTTTATTGTATTGAAACGTCGAAATAATTTATTTTTGACCTAGGAAACTACCCAATTCTCCTGCTCGTCTGACGCTGACATGAAGGAAAAAATGTCGTATTTTCTTAATAGACGCTGACGAATGCTCCAAAAAGCGACACTAAACTGGCTTCTAAAGTATAGATCTTGTAATATATGTCTCACCTGCCGACATCCAGCTTCCCAAACTTCAGGTTATCAAGGCTGTAACTCGCCGAGAGCTCAGCGAAGACCGGTGCAAAGTTGACGCAAGCTGGATGCCATGCAGCATACAGGCAGACAATCCAGGTCGTACTTTTATGGTGTTTGAGCTCATCCTCCAGGATTTGTGGTCCCCGGAAGTAGGTAACGTGTTCTGGGCCCATGTACGTTGGTTCAGGGAGGAGTAGGGCTGAGAGGATCAGGATGGCTCCGTAGGGTAGACCATATCTGGAACGAAAAGGAATGGTTTGTTATATTTTTTTTTTATTACTTTTTTTATTTCGCCGCTATCACGCCTGGTGGAAAGCGATGATGCGACCTACGATGACATACATCAGCCCTGTCTGTGTAGATCTGCGTTAGTTTGTTAGCTGTTTAAGGGGCTCTCGGGCCAGGTTCAGATCGCGCACCACGGTCGGTGGCCCGAGATCTTCGCGCTATCCCGACGTCTTGAGCGTCTCCTAAAGCTCCTAAAGCTTACACGCTTTGCCTCCTTATTATCGTGAGGAAACCTGGACTTATCATAATTAGAAGTCTAAAATCGCTAATAAGGTGGTGATTAATTCTCAAACCTTCTGCTGTGCTAGTAATTTTTGCTCAGCAGTGGGCACTTATAGGCTAATGATAGTAATGATACGAGCGTACGTAAAAAACCAGCAAAGCGAAAGTGACTAAAGAAGATGGAGATTAAAAGTTCAAATCAAGTCAACATTTAATTGGATTACCTGATGGTAAGCAATCAACGCCGCCCATGGACACTCACACTCTCGTGGGTAGTTACTGGTTAGGGATTTACGGATAGGGGATTTGACGATAGAGATTTATGACTCCGGTAATCTCACTCACACGACTATACACAACACTGTGGTTGTTTCACGCCGGTATTTTGTAAGGCCATGGTATTACTCAGGTCGAGCCGACTCATTGCTGAAGCATGGCTCTCCCACACTGAATACTTCACAACAAAGCGATAACAGGTTTATTAAGACAATATTGATAATTAAGAGGTAATATATGTAAGCCTTTTAGCAAGAAGGTAATAATAATAACTCGACCTTTTGTTATAGACTGTAGGCTGTAGGGATCTTATCATAACGAAAAACCAATGATTACCTACATCATCATCAGCTTATAAAAGCCTACTGCTGAGCAACGGCCTCTCTCTCGTCACACAGAAAAGGTATTTTTTATTGTATAGGTAAGCAAACAAGCAGACAATTACCTGATGGTAAGCAATCGGCGCTGATGAGCACTCGCAAAACCAAAGGAGTTGCTGACTTTTTGTGGGTTATTAGAGATTTAAGGTTAGGAGATTTGAGGATGAGGAGTAAGGATTAACCTAGTTCACACTGCACAACACAATGCAATTAAGCTTACGCTGCCATTGCTGCAATGCATGCAGTTTCAAACTGCAAAATGCCACAAGTAAATCTGCTACAGAAGGTTCCAAAAAAGGTAACCGAGAAAAAGCAACACTGCTCTACATATCCCATCTGGTATGACTCCAAAAAGGTTAAGATCAAACTATTAATTGTAATCATTAATCCAGGTTTCCTCATGATATTTTCTTTGACAATAAATATGCCTATAGTGTTTCGATACCAGGTTTCAACCTGTACCTAGTTGTGAAGCAGGTGCCTTAAGCGCCGGGCTACCACATGATAATAATAAATAATTGTGTAAATTTACTCTTTTCTGTAAGATTTTTAATAATAATCATCAACAATGTTGGATTATAACAAAAACAAGATTTTAACAGATTCATTGCAATGAAGTAAAACACAATTTTTTAAGGTTTTTATTTAGATAACTTCTAACTGTGGCTTCAAACAAAAATAATGTGACACTGTTCAGCGCACAATGCTATATGATTAGTTAAGTCACATCTATGTTATAAATGATGAAATAAAATTCTTCCAAAATTGTACACAGCTAAAATTAAAATGATAATGTATGATTGAAATTTCACATTTCTATGCTTAAGTGATGGTACTGAAACAAGCTTTAAGCAACAAATCAGTTAAATGAATATAGAACTAAATAAATTTACTTTGGTACAGGAAACTAAGCGAACACATAATAAATAAAAGTAAGGAGTGTTTATCTATTGATGATCAATGAAGCAGTAAATAACATTATTGTTGACATATCAAATAATAAGACAACAATAGAAAGAAAATCAACTAATTTTATAAATAAAACAGTATATTTAAATAAGTCAATCTTTTCATTAAATATTTACATTTATGACTAGAGTTATAACTAAGAAAAATCACAATAACCCACTTAGAAATATGAGTAATGAGAAAAATGCTCACTCACCTTATATCTGCGTAAAACCAAAGAATTAAGTTAGCTATCTTCGTATAAACGAATGAGGACGACAAATAGTTAACCATAGTTACACTTCCCGCCTTCCTAGTCCTCAGCATAACGACTATAATTAGGAAAAATAATATTTCCGTTTCTCTACTATCAAGCTCACAGTCCGAACTCGGGAACAAAAAATTGCAAATATAACCCGTCCTTTTACACGTAACGTAGGACATACTTAATATAATATTAAACCAGTAATATGGCTTTAATAATTGCCGTAAATCTGCTTTGTAAGACATGGTTTTTATTTAAAATTTAATTTAAAATTACAATATTAGCTTGCACTAATAGTGTCGTCCGGGCTGGTTAAAGCACTCTGTTTCACGAAGCGAATTTCTATTTCTGTCACAACGAGTGACAGTTGTATGGTTGTTAAAGTTTTGTTATTTTAATAATTCAGAATATAAAACAATAATTATTATACACTCCACCTCTGGCTTAAAATGTATATTTTTTATCTCATCGCATCGTGTTTAAAGGTAATTACCTTTAAACTTAAAATTATAATAATCAGGATTTTTTCGTGGATTAAACGTTTTTTGATGTCATTTGTAATGTTAATTCCTTGATTCGTTTAGTATCGTACGAGTGAAGTGTTGTGGGACGATTGGAATGTAATTGCTACCCATTTAAATAAGAATATTTTATGCTACTTAGCTTGCTGGGAAATTCTAGTATTAAATTAACTTTTTCAAAAACATTGATTTCTTTCTTCTGAAACCGTAATTTATATATTTCTAATAGTTTGAACTTGTTTGTTAGTGTTATGTTTTCAACGCATCCGAAAATTTTTGTTCATTTATGGACGATAGGTAGGTTAAACATTCGAGTACCCAACTCGTACTTTATAGGTACTCGATTTTTTACCTGGGCTACCACCGTGGCAACGAAGCGGCACAAGCTGGACGCATTTTAAGTGTGTGAGAGCCATGTTTCGTCACGAATGGGTCGTCTCGATCGGAGTGATACCAAGGCCTCACAGAAAACCGGCGTGTAACAACCACAGCGTCGTTGTGTTTCGCCGTGTGAGTGAGGCTACCGGAGGCCCAATTCCTCCCCCTTTCTCCATCCCTTCCCAATCCTCAAGTCATTGACTGCCGACAGGCTACTGTTGAAGGTAAATCCTCCGGTAGCGTGGCCCACATGTTGTCCCCCATGGCTTTCAAAGTGTTAAATACCCGAAACCCTTATCCTCAAAAGGCCGGCAACGCATTCGTCACTCCTTTGGTGTTGTGGGTGTTCATGGGCAGCGCTGATTGCTTACTATCAGGTTCTTTTTTTTTATGTAATTGGTCGGCAAACGAGCAGACGGATTACCTGATGGTAAGCAATCAGCGCCGCCCATGGGGGTGTCCATGGGCGGCGCTGATTGCTTACCAACGGAGTGCAACGGAGGAGTTACGAGTGCGTTGCCGACCTTTTAGGGATTAGGGATTTGGAGATTTAGGGATTGAGGAGGGATTGGGGGCGGGGAAGGATTGGGCCTCCGGTAACCTCACTCGCACGGCGAAACACAACGCTGTGGTTACTTCACGCGATCGAGCCGACCCATTCGTGCCGAAGCATGGCTCTCCCACACTTATTATAATTGATTTTTATACCAAACTAGTGATCGCGTCCCGCCCTCGCTCAGTTGCAATGCTGATACTAAATTTCTCCACTATTTAATGGATGTTATTATACATATAAACCTTCCATATATAAACGCCGGTCTTCTGTGAGGCCGTAGTATCACTCCGGTCGAGCCGACCCATTCGTGCCGAAGCATAAACGGATCTCAAAATGACCAACGTCAAAAAAGCCACGATCGTTTTCCTTCAAAAATAGTTATAGTATAGGTACTCAAGATTAACAATGAAAATCGATTGTTAACGCCAAAAGCAAATTACTAGAAATTAATGTAATAAAATCAATAAAAAATCTATAATAATATTATAAAGAGGTAAAATTTGTAAGTTTATATGTAGGGGGTAATCTTTGGAACAGCTGGTCGGATTGCCAAAATTCTTTCACTGGTAAATAGCTACAATATTACTGAGTGCTATAGGCTATAAAACATCACGCTATGATTAAATAGAGCCGACCAGCGGGTGAAACCGCGCGAGAATAGCTAGTCAGCTATAATTTTATTGATGTAGTTGCTGATATATATATAATTTTGATATGAATAAAAACACAGATTGGCAACTTGAATATTGCAAGGTTGACGCGGCTGCTGTGCAACGTATCGCGGGTTCGATTGCCGTACCGAACAACACTTTGTGTGATTCACAAATTGTTGTTCTATGAAGGCTTATAGAACAACAATTTGTGATTCATACAAACATACCTACAATGTCACTAAGTGTCAATAAATTGTTTGTAAACGCACCCACGACACAGGAAAAAAAATAGATTTTTCTATAAAAAAAGTAGTCGACAAACGAGGAGACGTATTTCCTGATGGTAAGCAATCATCGCCGCCTTTAGACACAGTAAACAACAGGGGGAGTCACGAGTGCCTTGACGACCTTTTGGGGATAAGGTTTGAGAGATATAGGGATTACAGGAGATGAAACATTCACACTCTCATTCACACGGCGAAACACAACGCTGGTTTTCTTTGAGGCCGTGGTAGTATTCCAGTCGAGTCGACCTATTCGTGCTGGAGCTTGGATTTTTAAGTTTATATATTTAAACTAGCGAGATACATGTGCGTTTTTAATTTAATAAAAATATCTCAAAAGATGTTTAATATGTATATATTAACGTTAAAAACTCGGCGAACTTGGAATTATAGTTTGAAATCGCCAAAATACCAATCCGCCTTGAGCAAGCGTGGTGATAAATACTCAAACCGCCTCCGTGTGAGAAGAGGCCTTTGTTCAGCAGTGGGTAGTTGCTTCCAGTCTGCCATGAGACGCGCGCGAGCGTCTTCGCTACCAGATCCTCTGGGCGGCTGATCGCCACCTTAAGTACGGCGCCCACATAGTAGATCGATCGATCCCACGCCCCCCCTCCCCCAGGGCCCTACTTCGTTCCAACTGGTTGACTTCAGCCGTCGGAAGTTCAACCGGATCATTCGGCGCCGTTGGTAACCCCTCCTGCCGTTAGTTGGGACCCATCTGGAGGTGGCGCGTTCCGGCCATAAAATCACATGGCCTCGGACTTGTGGAGCGCCACCTCGAGTCCCAACTGTGACATCAGGTCGATACGACCTCCCATTCGCAAGCATCAGCGTGTCGTCAGCGTATTATATACAAGCTGTCGAGATTCAAAATATGCTTGTGTCTTAAATCGAGACTTCTTTAGAAAGAATCTCAGATTGGGGTAGACTTAACTTAGCCCAATTTTACCCCACAAAGACACATGTCTGCGTGTTCACCGGTAAAAAACTGCCGTGGTCATGTCTCTTCAATAACAGAGCACTCCCCTGACAGCCTAAAAATTGGTGTTGGGATACTTGGTATCGACATATCGAGCGAAGTCCAGTTCTGCGGTCATCTGGAGGGTAAAACCTCGAAGAAGCTAGGTGTGCTCAATAGATCCAGGCAGTATTTCACCCCGGGGCTGTTGTCTCGGACCGGTTGGACTCTATGGCACTGCGTAGGTAAGTAGCCTCGCTATGAGTTCCCTATCGCATTTATCACGGGGAGTGTTCAATTTGATCCTCGCCGCATCTTTTTTGCTATCATTCTACGCGAAAGCATCTTCATTCCGGCCGTCAACAACTGTGCGATTCACGCGAAACTTTCTGCCCCGCACAAAACTTTGGAATGATCTTCCGGCGGCGGTATTCACGAACCGATACGACCTTCAAACCTTCATGAAACGAGCGTACTCCTTCTTAAAAGGCCGGCAACGCACCTGTGACTCCTCTGGTGTTGTAGGTGTCCATGGGCGACGCTGATCGCTTACCATCAGGTGATCCGTCTGCTCGTTTGCCTCCTATTCCATAAAAAAAAACTATGCTGTCGCCGCTCGGGAGGTCGGTGCGTAGCACTCAATCGTACCCGATGTTCTACAGAAGCGGTCCCAAGACCGGTCCCTGAGGAACACCACGCCACATCTCTTGTCGGATTAAGACACTGGCAGTTTTTTTTATCAACATACCACGCGAGAGATTTTTTTAAACAAATTGAATTGTTATTTATAAATAAATTCAGTGATTCCGCGAATATTCCGCGTTTATCACAAATATCCGCTTTTAATATTATACATATTATTGTCTCGGCAGGATTAACAGCGGCGGTGATAAGTTCGTTTGATTAAATTCTAAAATAGCTTAACCACCATTAGTGTAGGAGAATTGGTCGGAGGCACAATGAATAGCCACAGCTTGCTTTTATTTTCAATTGTTTTATTAAAATCGTTTAGCGAATGTCACACTGGACCGAATGTTTGCAGGGAGATTGTAAGGTAAGTGAACATCTTTAGCAATTTTGGTTTTGGGTGGTGAAATAAATTTATTTATGGTAAAGAGATAATTTTTCAACTGAAGTAAGGTTCTCAGTTTTGAATTTTTTGAAGAAGAGTTATATGTTTGCATGTAGGGCGTAATATTTGAAACCGCTTGACGGATTTCCAAAATTCTTTCACTGATAGATAGCTACATATAGGCTTTCAATTATCCTTTATTTGCGCATTTTAGTCGAGCTATCACTTTAAACGCTGATGTTTTCATTGGCTACGATTGGGTGCTACGCACCGACTGGCGACTTTAAACGCTGATGCTCTAAAAATGCCGGGATAAAGAGCCAATAGACCACCACAGACGAGGCCCTATAGGGCTGATATTCAGCCGGGGTTGCGGGGTAAGCGCAATGAGTTACCGCGACCTCGGCCCAGAGCAGGAGAAATAACGGGGGTGTTTTTAGTCAGTAAGAGTCATAGAGGAAAATCATGAAATGACTTCTCCCGCCCAGGGTATGGCAAGAGGGAGTGTCACTCTTACTGACTAAAACCCCCCCGATCCTTCTCCTGCTCCAGGCCAAGGCCTTTTTACGCTTGACACGCGATCCCTGCTAAACATTGGCTATGATTGAGCCCAACTATTGGCTCAAATCAGGCTCTTTGAGGCACGCGCGGAACGATATGCACCGCATACTCGGGTTTGGTTCTGGTCGGGTAGTGAGCTACCGGTTTATCAACCCGCGCTTAAGATGGCCGGAGATCGTTTCTCGATCCCTGACGGCCCGGGTCACCTGTTGCGACTGCTGGGGCGTGAGTAGGATAGTACCCTCACGCGCTCCGCCTCCTCCTTTGCGAAAATTACTGATTCGCAAAAAGAGGAGACGGCTTCCCATTTTCTCTAATCATATTGTGAT